CCCCCCCCCCCCCACAAAGGGAGAGCCAGTAGGGACTGCATACGCCGGTGCAAGACACAGCGGGCAAGGGGAGCAAGTACCGCCACTGCGCCCTGAGACCCACCATCGGGTCCCGCCATCCCTCCACTGTGCCCCGCCTCGGGCCCGGCCATCACCTCAAGCACCGGCAGACCCCTGGCTCACATTCACCCGGCATGGCCAAAAGTAACATCTCTCACTTCACTGTTCAAACATTTCACATAATCTGGCCAAACGCAACGGGGGGAGAGAGGGGGAAAATTAAATACTTGTAAAACGCAGTTCCCCTCCCGGGCGGGGCTGGCAGAGCCCCCAGGTCTGCGCTGCCGCCCGCCATCGCTAGCCCTGGCTCCAGCATCACACAGCTGCAGCCAGCCCTGCTCCCGGCTGCACGCCGAGGTCGTTAACGGGGAAAGCAACCTCATGGCGACGGAGGAGAACGCTCGCCACAGCGGGTGGGAGGCAGCAGAGCGGGCATCGGACAGGGGCACAGCGTGGCCGCCATTAACCTCGGCCTGAGCATGGCCCAGATGGATGGGCGGCCCGACCTACCATCCTACCATCCTACCATTCCATGCTGGAAGGACGTCAGCCGCGGCACTGCCGGGCTCTTAAAACACCAAGAGTTTTAAGAACACGAGGAAGAACTTCTTCACTCTGAGGATGACAGAGCACTGCAACAGGCTGCCCAGAGGGGCTGTGGAGTCTCCTTCTCTGGAGATATTCAAGACCCACCTGGACAAGGTCCTGTGCAGCCTGCTGTAGGTGACCCTGCTTCGGCAGGGGGGTTGGACCAGATGACCCTCAGAGGTCCCTCCCAATCCCGAGCATTCTGTGATTCTGTGAGTTACAAGTGTGCATCAGTGCGGTGCCCAGGCTGCCCGTCCCTACCCCACGCCTGCGCTGCTCCTCCCCCTCCATCAGCCGAGCTGAATTGTTCCAGTAAAATGATGTAGGGCAGGAGGGGAGGGAAAAAAAGAAAAAAATGCTTTTAGCAGTGCTGGGATATCAGGACACACTGGCAGAAGCAATGGGGAAATTAATGAGTTTATGTCAGGATACTTCATAGGCACAAGCACAGGCCATATTGTATTGCTCCTCTGCGGTGTTAAAAAAAAA